AATAGGACATGATTTCCTACATGTAAGAGGAGCATGGGCTGAACAACTGCAAAAACATTTTTAAAAAAGGTTTTCCTGTTCTGTTTTTATTTTGATTTTGTTTTAGAAATTAGGATACATTTTGAGATTTTATTTGTTTTTTTTTTTAATATTTTCTCTCAACAGATGTGTATCATTCAACATTTGACCCTCCCAGTGACCTAGCAGTTGTGCAGCGTCTCGTACCAGACTCTAAATCCTCTGAGAAAGTCATGATTCAGAGACTGATGGAGTACCACAGGTAATTACCTCTTAAAAGCAAGTGCTCATGTGGTACATGTAAATCAACAGAAAAATTCCAAATTTGTGGTAAATCCAATTTGGACTGAGTCTTGAGAGTTAAATCTGGGATTGCTTTACTTTGCTTTATGATTGGTCTACAAAATTGCTCTTCCTTCTTAGCCAATCAGATGTCTCATTACAACCAACTGTGTCTTAGTTCCTCGCATTTTTCCATGTATAATGCCAATTGCATGCACAGCTGTATTTGCTTTGAGTTTTCATCGGCTCACTGCTGTGGTTACATTTGATCTGATTGGTCATTGATAATTGTCAAAGGAACTCCCTATTTCTCATTGTCTTGCTCTTTGTAGACATATTGATGGAATCTTGATGTGCTTTGAAAAGATTCACAAGTCCATAAACGTTGATCAGCCAAAAGCAGATGTCTTTTCACAAGGTACACATTATTAGTTTTATTTTCGACTTCTAGTGGTAGATGTAGCTGAAGCAGAGGAGTAATTTAATCAATGTTCTTAGTTTTGTTTTACAATCACTTAGAGTGATTGAGAGATAAGGTGGATTACAGAAAGCACATGTAACATTTTCACCTTTGAGCAGTTGTTGTTGTTTAGGAGTGAGGGATGGATGTACACTGACCATCTTATTATTGAGAGATCTGGAGTAATGTTTAATTTGCTTCTTTTCTATTGCAATGCATCCTTTTGTGTATGTACTTTATTTACATTAAACTTTGTACACAAAATAAGTATTCAGAGTCTGTTTGACCATCCATTTGCTATGGCTTGCCTGCTCAACCTTTCAATGAACATCTACTGCTCTAAGGAGTTACATTTATCTAGATTTCTCAACAGCCTTGACTATTGTGTTCTTTCAGTGCTGTCCTATCTAAAGATGAATCATCGAAATAATGCCCCTCATACCCCGCGATTGATTCTCCTGGGCCCAACAGGATGTGGCAAGAGTGTCCAGGCGGAACTGTTGGCCAGTAAATATGGCTTTGTTAATGGTAAGAGAATACTGAACGCCCAATATGATTCAATCAGTTGTGTCGCAGCTGAGCACAACAGTTTACAGGTGACGCGTACTCAATCGACCTCATCGCCTGAAGAGGACTAGCAGTATGCAGTCGAAACGTTGCAATCCACATCCGCAGTGACCACATTGTCAGACAAACAATAATACTTCTCTTTGAAACCAGCAGTATAGTTGTCGAAACGGTGCGATTTACAATTTGTTATGGCTGTATCATGAGACAAACGATTAAAATTTCATTTATATTTTGAACTAAGATGAACAACAGAAAATTCTATTTAACAAACAACTCGCTTTTCGAACTGCCCTTGGCTTGAGATGTATCTGCAGGAAAAGAGGAACCCTGAGTGAATATTGCGTAAACCTGGGCCGGGTCGTAGTTAATAAAGCGTTACATGGTTGTTTTTTTACCCCTTTTTCGCGAACTCAAACAGGAGTAAAGAAGAATTTTGATGAATTTAGAAGCACTTTTGCGATGAAATTAGATGTGAACACTTCGATTTCCATTTACCCAGCACAGTCAGGTTACGGAGTTTAGTTTACTTAATACAGCAGCATAATCATTGATGTTATTTCTCCGTTAGTTTCTTGCACAGAGCTGATCAAACAATCGTTGGTAGATGATTCTAAACTTGGTGAAGCAGTGAGGCCGTATATTGATCGGCACATGTTGGGTAGGTGCAAAACTGGAATGATGTCACTCAGACAAGCATATTAAGGTTGTCTCCAATAAAGTAATCTCCAACATGGAACTAGCAATTCGTGAAGTTTGAACACAAAGTTTGAACACGAGCCGGGTGGATCTTCCTGTTTTTTTTTTTTTTTCGGAGGAACAACCATGAGTATAGCTGCCCTTCCCTCGTAATCAACGCTTTCAGATAAATTTCGTCACCATGTACGGCCAAGTTATATCCTATAGTATGTTCATACTTGTTTTGTTTTTTTGTTGTGATTTCCTAACAGTACCCGATGATTTGGTTCTACAACTACTCAAGTCTCGCCTGGCCCAGTTGGACGCTGTTACCAAAGGCTGGGTCATTCATGGCTTTCCTAAGACAAGAGAACAGGCAGAGTCACTGGCCAGGGCTGGCTATGAAGCAAATAGGTAATGAAAATACCAACCATCACGGAAACTCTGTATGTTCCCTTGTTGCGACCATATTGAGTGACCTGGGAGAACTGATCGGATTTGTTGGATAAGGCGGATTAGGGCGAGTTGGAAGGGTCGGGAGGATTAGATAAGACAGAATGTAATGGCTCCATTCGATTGCACGTTTAGATTAAGTGTCACAAAACCAAACCAAAGTAATCACGGCAGCTATTCGTAAAAAAAAAAACTTCAAAAGGTGTTAATGAGAACGCACAGTTTAAACAAGGATACAGCTTGCAGCGCTGAAAAACGCCAGTGTATGGTCACGACTGGTTATATCTGTGCAATGGTTGTTCGAGAGTCCAGGTTGCCTAAGTTTTTACATTAATCATAAGGCAAATTGAGCAATAATTGAATATTTCCAAATTATTAGCTTCGCGCTATTTCTTAGAGCGGTTTTTTTGATATTTTAGGGTGATTTTTATGGACGTTCCAACTGACACCATTCTTGAAAGATTGACTCTGCGCAGTGTAGATCCAGTCACCGGTGAAAGGTGGGTGTAATTCCGTAATACCGTTCCAAAGTTCGTCTCCTGTTTGTCCTAAGGTTTAATGGCACTGAGGTATTTTATTATTATTTAATAAATTTCATCGCATATATTTCTGTTTGATCCTTTTATAGTGTTGTTCGGTGCCGTTTCGTTTTTGATGTTGGTCAAAATGGAGAATACAGTGAAATACCGAAATTTGGAAATGCTAATCTTTTGTCGCAAAACTAAAAGGGCACAATTTAGCTTTCGCGTACTGACACAACCTCTATGAGGGAGGATTCAACAACTAAGGCAAGTCTAATGGGATGTCTCTTTTCCTCTTCAGGTATCACTTAATTTATAATCCACCTCGCACAAACGAAGTAAAGCAGAGGTTGCACACGGTAAGTTTTCAGCATATGTTATTGCTGTACTAATCGTCATTATCACAAGAGTAACCGGTGCTTCTAATTTTACAGTGACAGATCTAGGGAGAGGGGTCGCAGGGGATCCGGTCCCTCTCCCTCCCCCCACCATACACTGTGGGGTTCTTTGTTTCTTTGTTACCTGAAACCAAAATTATCACAACGACAGGATAGCTTATTACCCACAACTTGAAGTATTTAAAAGTAACTTATCTCTGGAACACAATTTTTCGTATTGAAGCTCTAGTTAAAAAAAAGAAATCTGTGCTTTCTGAATAAAAATTTGGACCCCCTTACCCATCGAGAGTTCCCAGATCTACCCCCGTTATGCAGGTATAATTAGCCAATCGCCAATCGCCAATAGCTCGATACTGGCCGTTTATTGGCTATTGACCAGATTGTTTTTGTACGTTTTGGCATCGTATCAGTCCTCGGTAAGAAAAACTTTGCAAATTTACCGCCATCTTGACCGCGGAGAAAATTCTTCGAAAGCAAGATAGGCCACTATAAGGTCTCTCGGCAAGCCAATCAGAACAGATGGTTTTCTTTACCTTGCCCGGCATTGGAGCCAGCCATGTAGTAAATTGTGTTCTTACCTCCTATTAGAGTCCGAAAGACGTGGAATCAGCGGTCAACTCACGAATAGCTCAGTACCAGGCTTACATCGAGGAGATTGCGGAGTATTACGAGGAGTCTGCGCAGCACATCAACGCCGATCAAGATATTCACACCGTGTTCGAGTGTATTGAAAGTATCATTGTAAACCCCATTCCCACAAAGAACGAAGTGTAATAACGCCATGCAAGGAGGATATGCTTTTATAATTATATTGTCGGCCACATTATTAACAAAGCTGTATATAGAGCACTGTCGTGGTGTCTTAACGTGGTACTAAAAGAATGTTTTCCATCTGGTCCGTTTTCAGTCTGGAATGTCGACATCTTTGGCCTTTTTAGTTGATTAAAGGTGTGACTTTAGCAAATTAATTTTTTTTGCAATCGAGTGTTTGTCCATTTCTTGGTATCTTGAGAGTCCGAGAGAGGGTTGTTTTTAACTTAAACCCTTTGACCCTTAAGAGTCACTAGCATCTAATTTCTCCTCACAATTTTACCCTTGAATCAAACATGAAGGTCTCGAGAATAAAGGAAATGATAAACAACTAAAGAGACTCTTGATTGCTGAAGAAATTCTCCTTGTCAGCACTTTAGGAAATGTATAGAGAACAGGTTGGAGAATGCACATACTGATGTTAGGGTGTAGAGAGTTAAGAGAACATACAAAGTATGGATTTTCTAAGAACCCACAATCACCATGAAATGACACAGAGAAAGACTTGAAAAAAATTTCACTCGCCTAAAGAAATTTTCTCAAAACCTTACCCTTACACTGATTGGGAAAATTCCAGTCGGTGAATAGAACGCCCAGGGTGGCCATTCAAAGTTATTCAAAGATGAAGGCAGTTACAGGACTCGAAGTTTTAAGAGAGTCTTCGTGGTGATATTAACATCCACACTACTTTCAGTTACTTGTCCGTTAAAGCTTTTATTAAATATATAATTTAAAGGTTCCTTACAGACATCTTGATAACCTATAATACATGTTACAGTCTAATTCTCTATCTGGTTCGCAAACTTTTGAACCTCTTTAAGAGAATTGTATTTGCTCTGTTACGAGCTTGGGACGCGAAAAAAGACTGTGTACCCTAGAGCAGTTGAAAGGTCAGACCTCGCGCTCCGATGACCTACAGAGAGCTCGATAGTGAAAAAGGCTTAACCGCTTAGGTACTGTTTGGAACCACCGGGGCGTTCAAGAAGATGATATGAAAAAAGGCTCACGCTGTCTACATCAAATCTGAAGGGTTAATGCTTTTCTGTGAACTAATATTTCAAAGGTAAAATTCTGTTCGCTAGAAAATAAGCCAAAGTGGATAATAGACCCAAAAGACTCAGTCGAAATTTTTGCATCAGCCCTCTTAACGGTTTAATATACTTATCATGGTTGAAAATTTTTGAACTGCCACTCGGAATAGGTACAGCAGCTATTCTTTATCGAATATCACTATTGATGTAATTTAACACTAAAGGTCGTCGTATGAAACAATTTCTCTGGCTTCCCGCGACTGTAAACCTGAACTGTGCCCTCTTGAATCTGCAAAATATAAAAAGGAACCATTGTAATCACAGGACACTTTCGACACATTTCTGATCTGACCATTAGGTCTTACGCAACTTACGCAAATCGCCTTGCGCACATGAACCAGGTGCCGATTTGGAAGATAAATTTTTGTTCTAGTGTTTTGCGGCCTTTCTGTACATCTAATTTTTCTTCCAAATCGGCACTCTTAATCCCCACGGAATCAACGAGCGCTTCTCGTTCAACTAATTTATTCTTGTTTTCTCGTCACTAATTATTCCCACCAATAGCGTAGCTCCATTTTCTGCATAAAACCCACACACAACCCACAATTCTTTCAATCGCTCTGATGAATGGCGAACGCTCGAAACGTCAGCCCTTTCACTCTTAACTGAGGCCAATTTACGTTTTTAACTCAGTTGTTAACACTAAATTACCTGCTATACTCTTCTACCGATGCAGCACCACAGTTTCTTTAGAAGCTTACCCCCTTTGATCAAAATATAGACTCGTTGGATTGCCACACAATGAAACAGTTAACGTCTTTTTAAAAAAGGAACCTAAGTTAATTGTGGCAAATCTAACCTCTGCTTCCCAGACCAGGTCTTCGATATCCTTGTGTGTCTCCCATGTTGGGTTGCCTCCTGGAAAAAGCTACTTTGATATGCACACCAGACACCATCATACCATTCATCTGAGAAAAAAAGGGAGACCTTGACAATCAACTTTCCCATGTTACTGGCTGATTTTTGCAAGTTTTGAAGGCCGCCGTGTAGAGTAAAAATGTTAGTTTCGTCAAAAGTAAATATCCGCTCGTTTCTCTGGCTCTGTCGCCTTGTTTAAAACTATGTAGAGCTTCCCAGCAGTCAGTGAAACTAAAATCACTTAGATACACACATAATTGGATTTCTCTCTCTCAAAAACAAGACAAGTTATGAGAATGAAGAAAAATATCTATTATAATAATAAAACATAAATTAGGGGATTAATAGCTGATCCAATACCAAATTGTCCGCACTAACATAATAGGAAGACAGTAAAGAGAACTACTTATGAGATCTTGGGATTGAAAGGATCAAGGTCACTAGCGACAGTAATGTGCTTTTCTCTCCTCTGCATACCTCATCAACTGCTTTTTCAGCTGCTTCACAGGAGTCTAGTGTAACAAAACCTTGGCTATGTAGATAAAAGAAAAAAACATTAGAGACAACTTTTCAGAGTAACATAAAATGAGAACTTCAAAATAGAATTGAAATAACAAGGGTAAAAGTCCCTTTTAAAAGTGATAGGGTTTAAATTTGCACCACCAGCATAGATTTTTTAATATTGGTATTTGCACATAACGTCAGCAGCCATGGGAGGGGGAAATCAGTAAAATTTATTGTGCAACAACCAAAATCCTCCAATCCCCTCCCCAAGCAAATTAAGTAATGACCAGTCTCTCATCCAAGTTACAGGTGTTAAGGGATAAAGAGGGGGCAGAAATATGATGGAAAATGCTTTGAAAAACAGTTGTGATAATTTGAGATCAGTTGTGTTAGATGAAATCAAGGAAATCAAATCAAAACTTTTTTTTTTTTACTCAAAATGACTTCTGTGACAAATAAGAAAACAATTGTACCTTTTTTCTCTTTCAAAGTTAACATGTTGAACCTTACCTGAAAAGAGAAATAGAAAGAATTACTAAAACGAAAAAAAAGGGTTATGTCCCTGCTAACAGTTGATCGAAAAACAAATTGGGTTCATTTTGCAAGAATTAATGGCACTTATATTCTCTATAAAAGTAAATTTCTATAAAAGCTGCTGTTCACTCTTGCGCAAAGCCAATTTGCCACTTACATGTTTGAGTGAGTAGCACAAAAATTTCAGAATCATGTAATATCAATTGGCTAAGAAGGTGTTCTAGCCAACACAATGTTCATTTTTGCACCAGGAAATTATATGCCACGACCTGGGACCTCATCTAAAAATGTAATTTGTGACAATTGTAATTAGCATAAGCTAATATTTTGCCAGTTTTTTCATTTAAATTTATTTAGTTTTTTATTTTTCCTGAAATATTATCATGTTTATATCAGGTTTTACTTAGATCTTTACTTGCATACTTCCTTCAGTAACTGTTATCTACTTGTGTATATGATGTTATTCAAAGCATACTCTAAAACCCAGAGGGTAGCACCACTGCCTTGGTTGGGGGTACATGTTCCCCATTTTCACTACCTCCTGGCTTTTAGGGGTTTTCCTGTCTGGCTTTGGTGCAATTAGTTTCCTTCAGTCGTAATTATAATAAACTCTTGTAAGCATATTGGTGTTAAATAAGCAGTGCGATGGCTTGGCTGGCCAACAACATCAACACTTTGTGTGCCCGGTTGGGTAGTGGAAGCAAAGTTAAGTGGATGCAGGATCAGAAAGGTTGAAAACATTGCGAGTTACGAAGATTTACCAGTTTGTCCAATGAAAGGAGGAAATATGGCATAACATAACCATGTCAGTGGTAGCAGTGGCACTGGTGTTGTTTGTAAATAGTGTCGTTTAAGGTTTGCATACCGTCATTGTCCTACATGTTCTAGAATAAATAAATGGTTCCGATTTGTGTGAATTACACATGATGGAAGTGACATGACCCAAACATATATATACCATCTTAGAATATGACTCATTGAGTGGTCCCTTTTAGTGTAGTTTCCTGCTTAGCTCACCAAACACAAAATATTAAAAATCAGCATTTAAGTTACTGAAGCTAAATTTTTCCTATTTTTTCCTTGGATCAAGCTGGAAGAGGAGGAGTGCTTCAAATGTAACTTTACATATTAAGATTAAATTTGTTTAACAGTCAAGGGTCTCTTAAGTTGACGATCATTGGGATTATTCTCATGACCTAAATGTGTGATTCAGGGGTGATGATACAAGAAGAAATTAGATGTTATTAACTCTTAGGGGTTTAGGAGTTACATGTAACCTCACCAAATTTAGTGAACTCTTCCTGGAGGATTTTTTCTGTTAATCCATATCCATTGACATAGATCGTGTTTCCCTGTGAGATGCAATACAAACAGTCAACATGCAAAGTGTGACTGTGATAGCAAAATAACAATAAACCAATTGTAAAAAAGCCACCTTCTTTGGCTTTCCTGCGCCACAGCAGTTGTCTACTGCAGTTAAGTAATACTATACTCCTGGGTGCCTCAAAAATTGTTGATTTTAAATTCCAGCACCTTGTGGTGAGGACAGTATTGTAATTATATACATAATTATATGGAGGCACTTTAAGATCTCAAGTATTATTGCATATCATCACAGAACAAGATAAAAATAAACCTTGTTTCAAACTCTCTACATGTACATCTTTTAAAAAAAAACTGACCAATTTTGATAGAGAAAAAAGCCAGTCCTTGATGGCATGATATTTTAAGCCATCAGCCTGTTTTTACCTTTCTTGATTGATCATCAGACCAACTTCTTCTACCTGACCCTTGTCCTAAATTGAAAATGATTCAAGAAAAGGGATTGCAATACTTTGTTATACATGTATGTGATGAATAGTATCCTTGGTAAACAAGATTTTAAAATAAAGAAAATTTGCAGAACACTTAGACTGAACAAGCTGCAAGATACTTAACTGATAACCAAGTTTCAAAAGGATTGTTGATCAAATTGGCAAACAGAATACAAATAGACACACATCATTAGACAAGAAGACAAACACAAAAACAGCCAAGTGAGTATGCAGTACATGTAGTATCACACTGTCAGATGGCAGGCAGAGTGACAGACTGATTGACCTTCAGACAAACAGACAGCCTAAGAAGGCAGGCACAAAGATAAACAATTAAAACAAACATTCATAAACAGGATTTAAAGTCAAACAAATACCTCCTGAGAAGCGCTTGTTCTGTGAGGTAGAAGAAGGTATAAAGCTAATCAAAACCAAAAAAGAAAAAACAAAAATATAACAAACATTTCAATGACAACATTGCTACAGGTACTCACAGAGTACTTAACCCTTTAAGTCCTACTAATGACCAAGAGAGAATCTCTCCTTACATTATCAGTATAACATAAAGCAGATAAGTAATAAAAATAAAGAAAAATATCAATTAGGGGATGGATGGTTGATCCAATTCCAAATTCTCCAAACTAACATCACAAATTGTATGGTAGACAGTAATGAGAATTACTAGATAAATGAAATATTGGGAGTTAAAGGGTTAAAGCTGAGCAACCATTTGCATAAATAGTTCTGAAAGAGCAGTGTACAATAAAAATTGCCCAGAAAAACCTAAATAGAAAGTTTCAAAGGACCTAAAAAAGATGGAGTATATGCCACTTATACAGTTATAATTGCCTCAAATTCTTACCTTTCATGATATAAATTTCTTATTGCTTCAGCACGTGCCTATAGCAAAACAGAACATGGATCATGTATTACATAATATACATCTCTTACATGGTAAAAGTGAAAAGTTAAGGTCTAATTCATTTCATCAAATCAGCTAGTCATCCAGTCACTAAAGATAAAAATTAATGAAATGATTGATATTTATGCCAAAGATAGCTTTGTTGTGAAAAATTCCACAGTACTCAGAACTACAAAAGTTCAACCAATTTTTAAAGTTCACTCTTGAGAGATGACCTGTTTGAAGACTGTAAAATTTGTGGACCTTTTCGTCAAGGTTTAAACCCCCAACGTGGACTAAAGGTAACTAAAAACATTTGAAGGGAGAGCAACAAGGTGATTTTGGAACACATAAAAAATTAAATACATTTCATCATAAATATTCGATACTCTTGAGCAATACTTACCTGCTGCTCATTCCTGTTGGATGCTGGTTGCTGTAAGAAATCCTATATTGATCAAAAAATCAAAATGAACAATTAGCAAAACATACTGTATGTTAACACAAGTTTACACTTGCCTCGTGGTATTCTCATACACTGTACATAGTTAACCTAACTTGTAATACCTAGGCCTTCAGGTGAGTGCGTCATTCAACACCGACGCTTTAAAAGGGTAAAACCTAGTAATAAACAGTTTGAAATGTACTCTACAAGTTAATAATAGATGTTTTTAAAAAATGGGAATTTAACAATGGAGATTTCACTAAGTGCCTCTTCTCGTCCATTGTTTCCAGATTGAACTAGAATTTGGAGTATTGTGTTTGTGGAGGGAAGAAAACCAGAGAAAATCCTACATGTAAAGCCAACTCAAGGAATCAAACCCAGGCCACATTGGTGGGAGGCAAACACTTTCACCACTGTGCTATCCCGGCTCCCTATTGTTTATAATGTTAGTTTAAAATGATCTTTAAAATTTATCTTACCTTCTGTCTTCTTTCTCCTCCTTTAGCCCTTTTGAACTCCCTATGGACAGGATCTTTTTTAATCTTCACTTCCTTGATTAAGAGGAGAATTCCAATTACTGGCAACTTGTGAACAGTATTCAAAAAATTATCAGACTGA